CACCTCCTGGCAAATAGAAGGGGAAGAAATGGAGGCAGTGAGAGATTTTACTTTCTTGGGCTCCATGATCACTGCAGATGGTGACAGCAGCCAGGAAATTAAAAGACGCCTGCTTCTTGGGAGAAAAGCAATGACAAACCTTGACAGCATCTTAAAAAGCAGAGACATCACCTTGCCAACAAAGGTCCGTATAGTTAAAGCTCTGGTTTTGCCAGTAGTGATGTATGGAAGTGAGAGCTGGACCATAAAGAAGGCTGATGGCCGAAGAATGGATGCTTTTGAATTCTGGTGCTGGAGGAGACTCTTGAGAGTCCCATGGACTGCAAGAAGATCAAACCTCTCCATTCTTAAGGAAATCAGCCCTGAGTGCTCACTGGAAGGACAGATCCTGAAGCTGAGGCTCCAAGACTTTGGCCACCTCATGAGAAGAGAAGACCCCCGGAAAAGACCCTGATGTTGGGAAAGATGGAGGGCACAAGGAGAAGGGGACGACAGAGGACGAGATGGTTGGACAGTGTTCTCGAAGCTACCAGCATGAGTTTGACCCAACTGCGGGAGGCAGTGGAAGACAGGAGTGCCTGGCGTGCTCTGGTCCAGGGGGTCACGAAGAGTCAGACACGACTAAACGACTAAACAACAACATGAGCCAGACCTCAAGGCATGTTTAGGGAAGCTTTTAATATATGAAGGACAATTGTATTTTATTATTTTGTTGAAAGCCACTCAGAGTGACTGGGGAAACCCAGCCAGATGGGTGGGGTATAAAAAAATTATTATTATTATTATTATTATTATTATTATTATTATTATTATTCCCAAATCTGTGTATGGTGTTCATGGCTTCAGGACAGATATTCTTCAGTATTTTGTAGAGTAATCAAACTTCCAACCCCTTCCTTGGTCAGGGCCACAGTTACCTGGTTCAGACATCCTCAAAGGGCCAACAATTTTTTTTTAAAATTTATTTTTATTTAAATTTGTACACCGCCCTTCATCCAAAGATCCGAGGGTGGTTCCCAGTATAAAAATACAAAATAAAAACACACAATACATAATAAAAACAAGGTAAAAAACCCCAAACCCTTAACCCCCCCTCCCACAAACACATTTCACAAGCCAAATAATGTTGATCAGACATTAGAAATGATTAGAAATGCTTAAGATTGTGGTTTGTTTTTAGTTTGTTTCATTTCTACCTCACCTTTTTCTCCTAAGTGTTCCAGGTGTGGTGTACGTGGTTTCCCCTATTCTTGTTTAATCGCCACAACAACCTTGTGAGGTAGGGCTAGGCTGAGAGAGGCAGGGACCGATGTCAAAGGTCAAATCCAGGGAGTTTTTTGGCCGAGTGGGAGATTCGAACCCTGATCTCTGGTTCCAGTGCTCTAACCACTGCACCACCACTGCCTGCACTAAGGCAAACAGCCACAAAACACACATTCAGGTGAAAGCAGTGTCAGGTACAGAATATATGACCTGCAGAGTGCGAAACAAGCCATTGCTTTTGTGAGATATGTATGTTAGCAGTGGCCGAACTATGCTAACTCATCTTCGCCACGGGTCCCATGATTTTTCAGCAGCGAACATCCTGCTTTTTAACCCGAAAGGGTTTTTGGGAGGCGGCAAAAAGTTATCATTCAGAGAAGATGGCCCAAACGGCAACACAGCAGCTGTCGCAAGCGGCAGGCTGGCTGAGAGGGGGCGAAATTCCTGCCAATCTAAAAAATCCTAAGGAAATAAAGAATGGTTGCGGCAAAGACTTCATTCCATGTCATGACATGACTCTCTTTCCGGATTGGTCATTGAGCCCCGTCAATATATACATGTTGTTCTATTTAAACTGTGGAACTCCATGCCTAGATAACTTTTGATTTTTATGTGTTGTTTTTTTGGGAGATTTTACTCATCTCCCAAAAGTAACATAAATAAAATAAAATAATATAATATAATAAAATAAAATAAAATAAAATAAAATAAAATAAAATAAAATAACAACAATGCATAAAAACAACAACAATGTATATACCGGTATATATAAAAAAACCATGAACAAATTTCTAAACCACAATTTTAGTTGACTTCCCTCCACTCCCCCTCTTGGTTTCATTGTTTAGCACTTATTCACGCACTTCCATAAAACCTTATATTCTTAACAATCCAATTTTGAAACCTTTTCATCTTGTTACAGGTGACTTTTAAAGGTTATACCAATGCAGAAATCTATACGCAAAGCTTCAAAAAAATGCATTCAATAATTGTCCTTTTTTTTTTTTTTAGGTTTCAAGTTATCTAATATGTCCTACATAGTTCATTGATTTGTTTTGCCAGTCTTCTTTAATCTTGTTTGGCGATGGCTTCTTGCTTCTATAGAGATGGGCTGATCCTGGCCTGGGATTCATTCTCAAATACTGGAAGCAAGTCTTTCTATTGATAAGTCCATCAAATCCTGCACATCTCAGTATCATAACTTCAGGGGTTTTTTTGAACAACAGTCATTTCCCACATTTTCTTCAAATCTTTATATGTCTTTTCCCAGGCCTTTTTAAAACTATTTTACATTGCCACCACATATGGTAGCCTCTTATACTCATTGCCCTCCCTTCCTGCTAACTGAGATGGCTTTAAAATAAGACTGGACAAATTATAGAGACTATTGATGGCTCCTAGCCGTAATATCTATGCTCAGTTGCTGAAAAACACAGGCGCTTGGATCCTGGTGCTTGGATCCTGCCTGCAGGTTTCTTAGAGGTCAGCCATAGCCAACGCTGTGGTCTCCAGAAATGGTTGGAGTACAACTCCCATCGTGCCTGATCATAGAGGAGGGAGAAAGGTTGTTTTCTGCTGCTCCAGAGAAGCGGACACGGAGCAATGGATCCAAACTACAAGAAAGAAGATTCCACCTAAACATCAGGAAGAACTTCCTGACAGTAAGAGCTGCTCGACAGTGGAATTTGCTGCCAAGGAGTGTGGTGGAGTCTCCTTCTTTGGAGGTCTTTAAGCAGAGGCTTGACAACCATATGTCAGGAGTGCTCTGATGGTGTTTCCTGCTTGGCAGGGGGTTGGACTCGATGGCCCTTGTGGTCTCTTCCAACTCTATGATTCTATGATTGACTGTTCTGGCTCAGAATGTTGGTAGCTGGGAGCCTAACAACAGTTGGAGCTACTAACCCACAGGACGGCTCTCCTGAAATCCTTCAAAGACAGAGGTCCTTTGGCTGGGCCAGGACGCTATGGGATTGGGGGGCCCCAACTCCCATCTCTTTCGGGGGTGCAATTAGTGCCAGCCCCGTCCGTTAAGAGTTTGGGTGTCATCTCCAACACCTCCCTTTCTACGGAGGCGCAGGCTGCAGCCGTAACAAAGGCAGAGCCATCTTTTCCATTGGGTTTATGGGCGCGTTATGTCCGGGCGCCGGCCTCTCAGGGGCGCCCCAGCAAGTGGGGGAGCTGCACAGCTTTGCCAACGGCCTCCCCTTTCCCTGCACGCCCGCCAGCTGCTCCCCATCAAAGGTAAGGCTGGTGGGATTGCAGCTTCCTTCCCAAGCCTTCGCTGGAGGAAAGCGATCCCCGCAGAGGTTTGGGGAAAGGTTGACAACGCTGGGAAAGGGGGCTTCTTTGCACCACGGCGCCGGATAGGCTTAAGACGGCCCTGAACAAAGGCTGCATTTTTTCGCATCCGCCAATCTAAGCAGTTGGCTCCTTACCTCTCTCGCCCTGACCTAGCCACTGTGATCCACGCAACGGTCACCTCCAGACTGGATTATTGTAACTCACTCTACGTGGGGCTGCCCTTGAGACTGACCCAGAAACTCCAGCGGGTGCAGAATGCTGCGGCGAGACTCCTTACGGGCTCCTCACATTCACCCAGTGCTTTACCAGCTGCACTGGCTCCCGGTGGAGTACAGGATCAGGTTTAAGGTGCTGGTTTTAACCTTTAAAGCCCTATATGGCCTAGGACCCTCGTACCTACAGGACCGCCTCTCCTGGTATGTCCCACAGAGGACCTTACGGTCTTCAAATAAAAATATCTTGGAGGTCCCAGGCCACAGAGAGGTTAGGCTGGCCTCAACCAGAGCCAGGGCTTTTTTGGCCGTGGCCCCGATCTGGTGGAACGCTCTGTCACAAGAGACTAGGGCCCTGTGGGACTTGACATCTTTCCGCAGGGCCTGCAAGGCAGAGCTGCTCCACCAGGCCTTTGGCCAAGGGACAGTCTGACCCCCTCCTTCGGGAATCCTCATAGAACTGTAGCCCAATGGTTGCCATTAATTTGATTCTGGATTGATTTTAGAATGTATTTTAGTTAATTGACTGTGTGATTTTATGTACACTGTGCTATTTTTACTTGTTGTTAGCCGCTCTGGGCCCAGCTTTGGCCAGGGAGGATATAAATACAAATTTATTATCATTATTATTATACGGCGGCTAAATTTAGTTGGCCACAAGGGACTTTGTCAGAAACATTTTGGAACATGAACTATATACACAGTATCCGCCAGGTCCATCTTTATCAGCATGTCTATTGGCACTCCCATAAAAAAAATAAAAAATTCCAGAAGTTTGGTGAGGCAAGATTCCCCTTTACAGAATCCTACCTCCGCAAGAGTTGTTCTTTTATATGCTTAATCCCTGTGGGCTGTATTCAATTTGGCTTTTTCTGCAAGTAGACCCAACGAAACCAATGGACCGAAGTTAGCCGTGGCCATTGATTTCAATGGGTCCGAGTCAAAATGAATTTTTACTTTCCCCCCCAACCCTTCCCACCAATTCACTCCTGGGACTACAATTGTCCAGTTCCCACCCACCCACCCACAGTTACAGACCAGGAGAAGCATGCAGACACCTGCATGGACATTGGGTGGAAACTGACTGAAAGTCAATTGTTCTCCAGCTCTGAGCTTTGGTGAGGTCGAGAGAGTTCATCTGCAGAATGTCTGAGGTTAAGAGTCCGGCGTCAGCTTGCAAGAGAACGGCAGGGGCTTTTGCCTTGTGCCTGAGCCACACGAGGCCTAATTCCACGCAGGGTAGCTTGGGTAGCTCTTGCAGATGAGGTCCTTCAGGACGCCTTCTAGGCTGCTCCTATTCTCAGCTGAGAACTGTTGCCTCATGCCATCTATCTGTATTTGCACGCCAATCACATGCCTTTCATCGCAGACCCACTGGAGTTGAATGGATCTGTTGAGGTGCCAAGTGGCATTGGCAGCCTGGTGCCAGGGGCTGACGCCTCCGCCAAGCCTGAACTGGCCTCTGGAGAACCTGTTGAGATACCGGGCCAGCGCTTTGCCAGAGGGATTTGCACGCAGGTTCTGCTCCTCCGCAACAGTGTTGGCAAAGGAGCCTTGCGCCACCGATCTCATGGTGGGGTCCGGGCTGGTCAGCAGAAGGAAGACGTGGGTGATCACTGCAACATCAGCCAGGTGCCCCATTTCCAGAATCCCATGTCCTCCACACTGACTGGGGGCGCGGAGGGTGTTACGGGCCACCCCGAGCCACCTGTTCGCCATGTTGACGACGACGGCGTCAGCTTCCTCAAGGCATTTCCTCGCGGCCGGTGGTCCTTTCAGGAAGGACGAGATTTTGGGCAGCAGGACAGTCTTGAGAGCATCCATCTTTTGCCCGGGGGTCAACAGCGAACCGTCGATCTCTCCCAGTTCTTCAAGCCACTCTTTGTAGAAGGTTTTGGAGGACGGCTGTTCGGGGAAGCTCAGGAGAACCCCCAAGTACTTGAACGTTTCTCCTCTCTGAAGGCGGGTCATCGCTTCTCCCTGGATGGTGAACTCGGTTGGCAGGACCTGGCATTGTCGGACGTGGAGAGACGCACACTTGGCAGTGTTGAAGCGCAAGCCCACCCGGCGGGTGGCCTCAGTGGCGGCGTCCAACGCGTCCTGCAGCCCTTTCCTGCTGCTGGCCACAAGCACCAGATCATCGACGTAAGCCAGGATGTCGATCTTCCGGCCGTGCAGAACGAATCCAGTGGATCGAGCGGCGATGTATCGGACAACCGGCTCCATTGCCAGCTTGAACATGGTGTAGCTCAGAGGGCACCCTTGCTTCAGCCCCTTCTGGATTGGGATATCCGGGCAACCCAGCCTAGACAGGGTGGTGGTGCACCCATTATACAGATCGCGGACCACGCTGAGGAAGCCTTCTGGCATGCCCAGCTCCGACAGCACTTGGAAGACGTGCTGGTGAGGGATGGAGCTGAAGGCACTGGAGAGGTCCAACGTGGCGAGGGCAAACTCCTGCCCCGAACGTCGGCACTCGTCCAACAAAGCCTGCAAGATGAAGACGCACCCCGTGTCGTATTTCTGCTGCGGGCAGATGGCGCCACCCTCGATAACCCAGGTGTTGATGCGGCGGTTCAGACACCGGGCGTACATCTTGTAAAGGGTGTCGCACATGGCGATGGGCCTCCAGCTCTTCAGCTCCTTGGCGTCGCCGCCTTTGAAGATGAGGATGGTCTCCGATCTCTTCCACTCGGAGGGGATGCGACGCAGCCGCTTGCACCGGTTGAAAACGGCGGTCAGCACTAGGCATCCGGGGTCTTGCTGGCTCAGAAAGGCGGGCGTCAGCTTATCCTTCCCCACGTTCTTCTTCTTGATGTGGTGGATCATCTCCTTAACCTCTCTGGGGGCGAAGTCTCTCTCCAGGCCGGCGGAGCCTCTCATGGCGGCAAGGCGAGGCCAGCCACGCGGACGCGGGAACAGGCCCCAGCCCTCGCTAGCGAACGCTTTGGAGAAGTGTTTGTAGATCTCCGTCGCGGGGATCTCGCAAGGAGGAGGGGGAGGCTCGAGGATCTTTCTCAGAGCTTCGGCCTTGTTGACGTCGTACAAGTACTGGATGTTCCTTGTGGCCGTGGCGCCGTGGTACTGCAGGGGGCCTCTCCATCTGCCCTGGGCTGCCCTCCTGCCTCTTGCGGAGAGGTCCTTTGTGAGCTCCTGGATGGCTTCCTCAAAATCAGGGGCCCGCTGGAGCTCGGCGAGCCATTTCTCTTGCCACTGGGTGGTGGGCCTAGGGTAGGATACCATCTCCAGCTGAGATCTCTTGCGCCAAGGTTGGTGCCAATGTCTTCCTTTCTCTCTCTCTCTCCCTGCCGCCTCCTTCTTGGTCCTGGGCTTCCTTGAAGGCGAGTTGGCAGGTCTTCAAGTCAGTCCGATGTGGGTGAGGAGGAGGGCTTCTGGGTGGAGGTCACCTCTTAAAATGAGGCCTGCAGTGATGCTTGACCTCCTGGTCTCTCTCTTTCTTGTGGTGTCTCAGCAGAAGCTCTTGAGCAGTAGAAATCCCCACACGCAACCCTCTCTCAGAGATCTCAGCTTCGGCGGAAATGAAGGCAGGCCACAACAGCAGGCAGCCCCGTCTGGCCCGCCCCCTTGGTTTCTGAGGAAGTGGGTTTTCTTCTCTCTTCCAAGAATCCTCGGCTCCTGCAGAAGATCAGAAAAGCAGGCAGGCCATTAAACCTTCTAACCAAAGCAGCTGGGAGTTCCACAGAGCCCTCGCACAAAATCATAACAAGAATTAAACAAAAGTTTCCATAGAAAGAAAGAAAAAGTTCAGCTGAACACAGTTGCAGCCGAGACCAGCCACCAGGAGACAGAGGGATTTGAACAATAATATAATAGTAATAATAATTTATTATTTATAGCCCGCCCATCTGGCTGGGTCCCCCCAGCCACTCTGGGCGGCTTCCAACAAAACACTAAAATACAATAACCTATTAAACGTTAAAAGCTTCCCTAAACAGGGCTGCCTTCAGATGTCTTCTAAAAGTTTGGTAGTTATTTTTCTCTTTGACATCTGGTGGGAGGGCGTTCCACAGGGCGGGGGCCACTACCGAGAAGGCCCTCTGCCTGGTTCCCTGTAACTTGGCTTCTCGCAGTGAAGGAACCACCAGAAGGCCCTCAGCGCTGGATCTCAGTGTCCAGGTAGAACAATGGGGGTGGAGACGCTCCTTCAGGTATACTGGACTGAGGCCGATTTGAATGATTGGTATCAATAATTGCATTATAAATTGGCATTGTTATCATGAGGCTGTTATTGGATTTTAATTGAAAACTAATAAAAAATATTATTAAAAAAAAGGAGACAGAGGGATGAACCTTCACAATGGGAGGATGTTCCAAAGAATCGGAGGGGCAGAATCCCGCTGGAAAGGTGGAAAGGCAATGAGGAGCAGTGGTTAGAGCACTGGTTTCCCAAATTTTGTGGGGGTTTCCTAGAGGGTGCTAAGAGGCAAGGGTGTGGTGGTGGGGTGTGTGTGTGTGTGTGTGTGTGTGTGTGTGTGTGTGTTAGAGGGCACCTTGGTTTTCAGGCTTTGGAAAGCTGGTATTTTTAAAAATCAAGTTCACCAGTTTGTCGAATTGGTTCAACTTAATAGTTTCAACTGAATTTTGAATAAAATGTGCAGTCAGTTGCTACTCTTTTTTTAGTTTTACTGTGCTATTATCTTTCTTAGTGGGTTGTGCAAATCTGAATCGTGCCTCTAATGGGGCAGGGTCAGGGGGATGAGTTTATTGAGCTGATAAAATGGCTGTGCTGAAAAGGTTTGGGAACTGCTGGTTTAAGAGTGGGGGGGCAATACTCCCTTGCCTGAAATCGAAAGTGGAATTTTACAGTTGCAATCAGAAGAGTTCAGAACAAAGAGAGAGACGTCTCCACAGTAACCATAAGCCACACAGCGATCAGGAATAACTAATATGGACATAATATTTGATAAAGAATTAAAGGAACAAATTAAAACCCCACACAGGAAGAAGAAAGGAGAACTTCACCTGCGAATTTGCAAATTATTATAAGTGTTAACGCGAAGTGAAGTCAATTACTGTAGCTGTGGTATAAGGGATTTTATCAATAGTGGATTGTATTTGGTTTGAGCAAAAGTCTGGAGGCAGAACGGAAGGGAATCAGGCCTTGGGAGTACAGCACGTGGGAGGCCAAACAAAATTTATAATTGCCGATATAATTGATATGTATTTAAATTGTTATTGCTGTTTGGTGTTAATAGAATATGGCGCGTATTGGATTTTTGTAATTGAAAATTAATAAGAATTATTCAACAACAAAAATGAAAGTGTGGGGCAAAGACCTGGGTTCAAATCCCCTCCCCAAGTCAGTCATTTTTTATTTGTTTGTTTTATTTATTTTGTAACAGTTATACACTGCTTGGTTGTATGATTGTAAAAAAACAAACAAACCTAAGAGGCTTACGAAACAATAAAAATAATAAAATTTTGGGGGGGGGAATTATAATATGTTAAAGCATACCAAAAATCCAGGAAGATCCCACAGAGTGACCTCAGAGGCTCCCAGCCTAACATACCGTATTTTTCGCTCTATAAGATGCACCAGACCACATGACGCACCTAGTTTTCGGAGGAGGGAAACAAGGAAAAAAATATTCTGAATCTCAGAAGCCAGAACAGCAAGAGGGATCGCTGCACAGCGAAAGCAGCGATCCCTCTTGCTGTTCTGGCTTCTGGGATAGCTGCGCAGCCTGCATTCGCTCCATAAGACGCACACACATTTCCCCTTACTTTTCAGGAGGGGAAAAGTGAGTCTTATAGAGCAAAAAATACGGTACCTCACAGGAATGGAGAGAAGAGAGGAGGAGAATGTACAGTGAGGGGGGGAAAGTATTTGATCCCCTGCTAAATTTGCCCGTTTGCCCTCTAACGAAGAAATGACCGGTCCATAATTTTAATGGTAGGTTTACTGTAGCCGTGAGAGACAGAATAACAACAGGAAAACCCCCGGAAACCACCTTGAAGATCGAATCCTAGGGACCCCGAGGGTCTTCCAGCCCACCCCCTGCAATGCAGGAATCTTTTGCCCAATGTGGGGCTGGAACCCACAACCCTGAGATGAAGGGTCTCATGCTCTACAGACTGAGCTATTCCTCAACAGCTTTGATCTCCTTGGCAGAGAAGGTGGCCTAGAAATGCAATTAAATAGATATATAACCTTAGAGGTACAGCCTCCCCCAACCTGGTGCCCTTCGGACATTTTTGGAGGGCAGGATGTTGGGGCAGGCTGGGGAGGGCAGGATGTTGGGGCAGGCTGGGGAGGGCAGGATGTTGGGGCAGGCTGGGGAGGGCAGGATGTTGGGGCAGGCTGCCTCGGGGCATAGAAAGCTTTTCCACACTAAACGGCAAGTCCTGGTTCCAGTGGGCACCGTATTTTTCTCTCTATAAGACGCACCAGACCACAAGACGCACCTAGTTTTTGGAGGAGGAAAAGAAGAAAAAAAATATTCTGAATCTCAGAAGCCAGAACAGCAAGAGGGATCGCTGTGCAGTGAAAGCAGCAATCCCTCTTGCTGTTCTGGCTTCTGGGATAGCTGCGCAGCCTGCATTCGCTCCATAAGACGCACACACATTTCCCCTTACTTTTTAGGAGGGAAAACGTGAGTCTTATAGAGCAAAAAATACGGTATTCAAAGCAAGTCTGTGTTCCATGGAGGAGGGAACTAGAATATGGTCAGGGAAATGGGTGCATCGCCGCAGAGGTATCACTTGCTTTAGAAACAGAAAGGATTTCCAGGGAGGGAGGGAATTTGGGGAGAGAATCTGTGGGGCTTCAGCAAGGCCAGATTTAGGTTTGAGGAGGCCCTGAGCTACTGAAGGTAATGGGGCCCTTTATATGTCCAGCTGTCCTTTGTCAACAACAAATTGTTGCTGTTTTTTGTGTGGAATATGTGTATTGTGGTAATTTATGGACCTAATAGGTATCTAAAGCCACTTGCACATAACAAAATACGTATTTTATCAAAGTAATTGTCAAACTGAAATACAATTAAGAAGAAGTATATTAATAGTGAAATACAATTAAGAAGTATATTAATAGTGAAATAATTATTAAGCTCTAACTTAAATGATTTTTTTATTCATAACAAACTTAATAATGCAAACACATTGGCATTTGGCAATAACAGAAGTTTCTTTAAAAACACATTTTACAAATATTTATAATCTAGTCTCTAGAAACTTGCTATAACATGAAATAATAATAGCAAACCAGTGATGTTTTAGGGAGCAGGCTAGCAAGTGGGGCCCATGACTTACATCATAGGAGCCTACACAACACAAAACACTGTTGCTGAATGTCAGTTTTATTTTATTTGTTTTTTTATCATATATTTTGGAAATGTACATCCAGGTGTTTTTTTCCTTTAATTTTTTTTTGGGGGGGGGGCCAAGAGAGTGGGGCCCTAAACTATAGCTTATTTAGCTTATACGTAAATCCAGCACTGGGTAAAACTCAGGGGAAAGGAGATGGGAGGCAGTGACGGAGAGCAAAATGCCCATATTTACAACAGGATACTATGGATTTTGACAACACAGAGATTCTGGGGGGGGCATGATAACTGAGGAGGAAGAGAGCATCCCCTTTCCAAGAAAGAAGGACCAGGCTAGGCAGAAAAACGACAACAGGGGAAGAAGCTTTTTGCCAGCAGCTTGCATTGAGAAAGAGTTTAATACAGCAAACTTTTTCAGCAAGGGGCCGGTCCACTGTCCCTCAGACCTTGTGGGGGGCCGGACTGTATTTTGGGAAAAAAAATGAACGAATTCCTATGCCCCACAAATAACCCAGAGATGCATTTTAAATAAAAGCACACATTCTACTCATGTAAAAACACGCTGATTCCCGAACCGTCCGCAGGCAGGATTTAGAAGGCGATTGGGCCAGATCCGGCCTTAGTTTGCCAACCCATGGTTTAATACCTTTCCTTGCTTGGGGGTTTGCTGGGCTGGAGACGTGGGGGCCTTTTCAGCAACAAAGGGGATAGGGAGTCCAAGATAAGGGGGGAAATCAACATGCAAGTCCCTGGGCAGAGAAGGGAATTTCTTGGGCATCTAAAGTAAGCTAAGCTAAGGTAGAGCTTGAAAATTCACCGCCAAAGAACAAAGACTTGCAAATCATGCCTTCCCTGGCTGCGAATGAGTGCTGAAAGTTTTTAGTGCCAGCCAGGAAGAGTTTATGTCTACGGAACAGCTTCTAAGAAATCCATCTTATTTGAACTAGCCTTATATTTTGGGGAGACTCCAAACCACTGGAATGTGGTGAGTCATTGTGAACAGGAGAGACGGTTGGTTCCCTTTGGATCAGTTCCTTCAGATTTCTCCTGGGAGAGGAGTCACCAAGATTTACGCATCAATATATCAAGTCCCAGTAGCCCACTTGATTGCCAAAGGAAGACACACAGAATCATCAACACATATCAGAATAAAATAAGACCGTAGCTGCATCTGACAGCAAACATTCATTTTTTTTTCTCAGAGGACAGTATGGGAAGAGACCCAAGACAGGCTACAGACCCAAACTTTCGAGACCCAAGCAATATTCAACCTCAGCAACTTTTCAATTTTCTGACTTAGATTTAATGCCATGCAAAGGGAGTCTGCCTTTCATTCCGGCTCCGAAACATCGCTCCTTTCGCACCATAGCAACCCGAATAGCAAAATCAGGAAAATTAGATTAAAAATTAGATTTACCTGAAAAGGCAGGTCTCGGATGAAAATCCGCTCTTAATCCCTCTCCCAGCAACCCATCAATGAGGGGTCTTACAGGATCAAGTCATCCAAGGAGACGAAGCAACTGTACAATGATAAGCCACGCCTGTTTGCCTTAACTTGAACCTCTGAGGGAAATTTGACCTTGCAGAAGCTGAAAAATAGGGAGGATGTTCTCAGCAAGCCATCAGATAAAGGGGAACTGCTTAGTTCTCAGGGAGAGGAAGGGATGGGTTCAGGAAGCATCTAGACAACAAGGCCAGGTGGCCTGTAGTGTATTCCTTGCGAAAATATCCCCAGCTGTACAGTTTATAAAGACGTAGCGTGTTTAATGGGCGAAGCATTTGTCCAGGGGCGTATCTCAAAACCCAAATGTGAAGGGCTCTTTTTCGTAAAAACTGACACGGAAGATAGAATTCCCTGATTTTAGTTACTTAGAGTCATAGGATTGTGAACTTGGAAGAGACCCCCCAAGATTATCTGGTCCAACCTTCTGCAATGCAGGAATCTCGGCAAAAGATGGGCAGCACCAATAAAGTTCATTTTGTTGTTGTTGTTTAGTCATGTCTGACTCTTCGTGACCCCATGGACCAGAGCACGCCAGGCACTCCTGTCTTCCACTGCCTCCCGCAGTTTGGTCAAACTCACGTTAGATAAAAGGTAAAGGGACCCCTGACCATTAGGTCCAGTCGCTTTATTTATTATTTATCCTCATCTGGCTTAATTGGCCGAGGGAGCCAGCGTACAGCTTCCGGGTCATGTGGCCAGCATGACTAAGCCGCTTCTGGCGAACCAGAGCAGCACACGGAAACACCGTTTACCTTCCCTATTTATCTACTTGCACTTTGATGTGCTTTCGAACTGCTAGGTTGGCAGGAGCAGGGACCGAGCAACGGGAGCTCGCCCTGTCAGGGGGATTCGAACCGCCAACCTTCTGATCGGCAAGTCCTAGGCTCTGTGGTTTAACCCACAGCGCCACAACTTTGATCACTGTGATGTTAAAAGGCTTGTATTCGTATGGAGAACATTCTATCATTTTTGAGATTACATCCCAGTACAGCTTTCACCACTCTTTTGTTGACTATGAGGGCCACTCCATTTCTTTTACGGGATTCTTGCCCACAGTAGTAGATATGATGGTCGTCCGAATTGAATTCGCCCATTCCCGTCCATTTTAGTTCACTGATGCCCAGGATGTCAATATTTATTCTTGCCATCTCATTTTTGACCACATCCAACTTACCAAGGTTCATGGTTCTTACATTCCAGGTTCCTATGCAATATTTTTCTTTACAGCATTGGACTTTCCTTTCGCTTCCAGGCATATCCGCAACTGAGCGTCCTTTCGGCTTTGGCCCAGCCGCTTCATCAGCTCTGAATCTACTTGTACTTGTCCTCCGCTCTTCCCCAGTAGCATGTTGGACATCTTCCGACCTGAGGGGCTCATCTTCCAGCGTCATAACTTTTATATGCCTGTTGCCTTTGTCCATGGAGTTTTCTTGGCAGGGATACTGGAGTGGCTTGCCAGTTCCTGCTCCAGGTGGATCACGTTTGGTCAAAACTCTCCACTATGACCTGTCCATCTTGGGTGGCCCTGCACGGCATGGCTCATAGCTTCTCTGAGTTAATCAAGCCCCTTCGCCACAAAAAGACAGTGATCTATGAAAGAGTCAACTAATATCCGGCTTTTAACTTGGGGCTTTAAAAGCCAACATTCTGTGCGATGACGGAGGATATTTTAACCAAAATGAAAGCGCTACACACACCAGCTTCATTTGTGCTTTAGCTGAACTAGCACTAAAGAAATGAGCAAACTCAGTTTCAGGAAAGATTGTTATGGCAAATTTCAGATGCAGCCACAGGCTGCAGATTGACTGAGACTATCTCTACATGGGTAAATTTGAATGAACATTCCTACTGAATGGAAAAGAAATTGCATGGGGTGGTATATCACTACAGAATAAATGCCTGGGTGATGTATTCATTATATGCCAGGGGACTGAGGACAGACTCCAAGAATTAGGAAGATTTGTTAACAATGTACATCCCAGTAATAAATTTGTTCTGATGTATCACAAACAACAGGTTCATGTTCTGTGTATAGAAATTATGTTTTTTGGAAAGGAATCTGAAGGCCGCTCCTTACAGAAAACTTACTGATGTGCTGTTGCTGTTGTTTTGGTACAATATGACAGTTATCATGCTGGGTATTTAAGAAGAAACCATAATGCAACGAAATACTCAGAAATGGTGTTAGTCTGTGTCACGAACCCACAAGTGTGTGCAAGCACTCACATGCATTCTTATACACGCTGCCAAGAAGTTTTCGATATTTTACTGGAGTTAAGACATGCGCTTTTTATGAATATGTATGTTTAGCCTTAACCTTAG